TGAGCTCGCGCAGCGGGAGCCAGGGAGACCCTTCCCTGACCACAGCGGCAACAACTTAACCCACGCTGGCAGAGGGAGAGGAGGGCGGGAAGCTCCGGGAAGGTTCTTAGAGAACCTCGGAGTGCTCAACAGAGGCATTGGCTGCGGGACTCCCGTAGCTGTCGGGTCTGCCCGGGGTTCTGGTCTCCCAAGTGACTCTGGACCTGCGTTTTGAGTTGCCCTAAGCGAGGATTCCTCCAAGGATCTGTCTACCCGTGCTTACTGTCGCCACTGCAGTGAAGTCTTCGTATGTAACTGTCCCCCTGACGCCAAGGCGCAGTGGGTACCTAGGCTGCGCGGTGCTGGAGACTGTGGTTCCTGGAAAAGGCCGTGGTGGTGGGCCCGGGGAGGAACAGTGATGGCCAGGGCAGGATTGTACTGTGCCACAAACATCCAGGCGAGAGGAATCCTTCTCCAAATTTTAGGGACATTGCTTTCATGTTGTAAAGATCACTTCCCGTACTAGGTATGCATTTGGATAGCAAGAGATTTAACTTTGAAACAAGCTGGTTAATAATTTGGCTGTGAGAATTTGGAATGTGAAAGTTCTGACGACAGAGAAAACTACATGTACAGGGTTCAAACATCAAACACTTTCAGGCCAGTGGGGACCACTTGAATCAAGACAGGACACTCAAGATTGCCAGCCTGGGCAATATAGGGAGAGGTCTGGAAGAGAAAGGGAAGGGGAGATGAAGGAGAGGCCAAAGGGGAGAGGAGGGGAGGAGAGAAGAGAGAGGGGAGAAGAGGCGAGGGGAGGAGAGAAGTTCAGCAGGTTCAAAGGGAAGTTCAAAGTCATCCTCTGCTATAGGAAAAAGTGTGATATCTGCCTGAACTTGAGGGGAGCAGGCTCTGTCACCAGTTAGTGAGTTAACAGCCTGCCATGCGACCATGAATTCTACAGAAAGCCAGAAGAGTGACACATGCCTTTAAGCCAAGTGCTGGACCAGACAAAGACAGGCAAATTGTTGTACTCCAGCTTCAGTAAGAGAGCCTATCTCAAAAATCATAATGGAGAGTAGCACAGGGAGATACCCAAAGTATGCATGCACAGGTTAATGTACCCCCCCCCCACACACACACCAGGGGAGACTAAAAGATAAGACAGCCATGATTCACACCTGTAATTCCAGCACTCCAGAGGCAGCCCAAGCTAGACAGCAAGACCCTGCCTCAAAAACCAAACACAAAAGTATAAAGTGTTTAGGAAAGTCTTCCTACCTCTTAAGTCTCCATCCTTTCAATTCTTATTTCCCACAGGAAGCCACTACTACTGATTTCTTAGACAATTATATATCATACTCATTCATGTTTGTAGACCAGGAAGGTTGGTTCTTCCTGTAGCATTTTGAAGGACCTCTATGTATATAAAGGAGAGTAACCTCTGTCTAGAGTGTGGGTTGTATTTCTCCAGTTTGTGAGTTTTACCCAGCCTATTACCTATGCCTTTAGCTCATTTATTCTTGTAGATGAGTAGTTTTCAACTGTATCGCTATGATCACATTTTTCATGAATTCTTCTGCCACTGGACAGTCAGTCCGTGGGTCTGAATTGGAGACTGTTACAAAAATATTACAAGGGCATGCGTGTGCATGTGTCCTTGGTGTCCTCCCTGGCCTGTTCCCCTTCTTTATCTGTCTGCCTAGGAACACATCCTTAGTAAGTCATTTGCTTGTGAATTCTTGCCTTGAATAACAATAATGGCTTTGGTCATGGTGGATGCTCCAGTGCAGACAGGTGGAGAGGCTGCATGTCCTTTCCCTGTAAATGAGTAAGTGGGGTCACCAGAAATACTGATGGTAGCAGAATCTATCCTTCCACTGAATTCCCTGTTCCTTCTGCAAGGTGACCCTGGGCGTGGGAGTGGGGTGTATAAGACGGAGGCATTTGTCATGTCCAGACCCACTTTGATGCCTCTTCTCTCCTGCTAGAAGAATTTGAGAAAGTTAGCATTGTTAACTTGACAGAATCTAGGATCACCTGAGAGATAGATCCATGGGAAAGCCTGTGGAGAATTATCTTGATTGTTCAATTGAAGTGAGAATACCTGTCCACTGTGGGTGGTACCATCCCCTAGGCAGGTGCCATCTGATAGAGTTGGTTGATGACTTTTAGTTAGTTCCTGCCTAAAACAAGCTGAGGGCAGGGAAGTGGAGCAAAGCCACTTGGAGAGTCCTCTACACTTAGCCTAAAGTAAGTCTGAAGGCAGAGGGGCAGAGAAGAAAGCAGGCCCTTCAGAGAGCACCAGGGCTCCTACAGTGAATGGGAAAGCCTCTCTGCTGCAGAGTGTGTCTCTGAGATTGCCAAAGCCAACTAATTATTCCTGCATGGTCCCTCTCACTATGGCATGTTTCACATGGTTTCCTAGTTTCCCATTTCCTCTCTTTCACCAGACCAAAAGCACCATGATGTCCGGGAATACATTTGTTGTACCTCCTGGTATTCGGTCTGGCCCAGCTGAAATTAATAAGACAAAGAAGGCTATTGACATTTCTCTTGGTTGCTTAACAATTAGATGGCAAGACTCTAATGCTGACTATACAACACACTTTGGTTGCAGCACATTCAGAAATCAATCTGGAACTGACCCAATGGCTAACTTTCATAGCGCTAGAAGGTGCTATGTAGGTTTCTGGGAGAGAAAAGTCATCAACGGTATTGCCCAATGGAGAACCTTGAATGCTACCGTAACGAGCTGCCAGGTAAGATGCGTGGTGGTGCAATAGTGACATGAAGATTTGGGAATAACCAACAACTTTCTGATTGGATTTGAGGCCTGCTCCACAGGAGAGACTCTATACCTGGTACTGTAAATCTGACCAAAAGCCTGTGGCTCAGGAGGTCATAGACCCTGGAAGGGAGCCTAACACTGTTATTTTGCTAACAGGACATGTTGTCAAACAGCTTTTCTAAATATTTGTTTATACTCATAGGTTAGTGCTGCTCTCATCCTTGGGCAGAGAACTGCAGTGGGCAACAATTAATGCAGAGTCAAGGAGCTGAGAATTCGGGACTGCCTAGTGCTCAGCCCTAAATAGGACATATGTGTCAGTTCCCCAAAGGCATCAGGGAAGAGGGGGCAGGAAGAATAAAGGTGCTGGAAGATGAGGAGGAGTACCATAAACTATGTATTATAGATATGACATGGCCATTAAGCTCATAAATGAATGCATAGCAGCAGGGGCTTCCTGCAAAGACCAAACCAGCAAGAACAATCACTATTCCGACAGGCAGCACTGGTTGGACTCCGGGGTATAAAAATAAATAACAAGTAAATAAATGAGAGGACATGAAGATGGGAGGGGATATTTTGGAGGGCATCTGGTGGAGGCTGGGAGGGGACACTTAAGAGTGGGTATGATCAAGATACAGTGTACATGTAAAATTGTCAAAGCGAAATAGAAATGTGAAGTAACACTGACCAAGTGTGGTGGCACACACCTTTAATCCCAGCACTTGGGAGGCAGAGGCAGAGGCAGATGGAGCTCTATGAATTTAAGGCAAGCCTGGTCTACAGAGAGTTTCAGGCCAGCTAGGGCTACATAGTGAGACCCCATCTCAAAAATGAATGAATGAATGAATGAATGAATGAATGAAGAGGACTGTAGCCTCTGGGCCCTATGGAGATCAGTCATTCTTGCATTCATTCAAGCTATATGACTCCTAAGCCCAGATAAGTTTCCAGACATGTCAGGGTCTTCCATGCCAAGCTCTCTAAGCAACCATTAGTTTGCACTTTGCAGTTGCAGTTGGGAGGGGAACCGTGGATCAAACCTGAGGGCAGTGCATCCCAGGACATCATTGGCCATGCCTGGAAGCAGCATGGAACAGTGAGTTATCAGGTATTTGTTGGTGTCGTTCTCTAAAGTGCAACAGGAAGTGTCCTGGAAACCCACACCAGTGCTCAAGATGGGCACCTCTCCCCATCTGCAAATGGGAGTTAGCCTGTAATAGCCCAGAGCATGGTGTCTGAGGGAGGCATTGCCAATTCCAGCTCACGGACAATGTCAGGGTGGTGCCTGGAGATGCCAGGCTGGTGCTCAAGAGCTTCACAAACAGTGATGGGAGTGCACAGAAGTCCCCAACGTCACGGTCATAGCTCCATTCCTGACAGCGCAGAACACCCAAAGAGAAGCATTTGCTTTTTGGCAGGGTGAACTGGGTGCCTAGAAATCCAAGAAATCAGCCAGAATTTAGATAAGTAACTCAGGGTTCTGGGTATCCAACATAAAGGGAGGGATTTTTCCCTCTTTCATTTCCTTTCTATTTCTTTTCTTTTATTTAAAGATTTTATTTATTTATTATATATACAACATTCTGCTTTCACGTATATCTGCACACCAGAAGAGGGCACCAGATCTCATTACAGATGGTTGTGAGCCACCATGTGGTTGCTGGGAATTGAACTCAGGACCTCTGGAAGAGCAGCCAGTGCTCTTAACCTGTGAGCCATCTCTCCAGCCCTCCTTTCTATTTCTTATTTCTTATTTTCTTGTCATTTTGAGACAGGTCTCATTATGTAGACCAGGCTGGCCTGCCTCTGCCTCCTGTATGCTGGGATTACAGGCGTGCACCTCCACACCCGATTCGTTGTGTTTTTAAGAGATGAGGTTTTGCTGTGTTGCCCACACTCATCGCAGTCTCCTGGGCTCAAGGGATCCTCCCACCTCAGCCTGGAGCGGCTGGGTCTACCGGTTCACAACACAACATCCAGGTAAAGTGGCAGATTTTTCAAATAAACTTTCTTGCCAAGATATATATTCTGAAAGTGAATAGTTCATCAAATTTTCACAAGTGAACACACTCACTCAACCTGCCTCACACCCGAGGTGTGTCTCCTAGGTGATGCTAAACCCAACCAAGTTCACAGTGAAGACCAAGGACAGGCAGAGTTAAGCAATGGGATAGAAGTCAATAGAGTGATGGGCTGAAGGGATCAAGAGTGTTTCCAGAGAGTTTTAAGTGAGACGGGAAGACCCACCCCAAATGTGGGCAGCAGTACCTGATGGGCTGGGTGCAAAGAGAAAGGGTAGGAAGCCAATGGCACCGTCACTAGTCTCTCTCTGCTTCCTTAATGACATGTGACCAGCTGCCTCCTGCTCCTGCCCCACCCCACTTTTGCTGCTGCCTTCTCCACCAAGGTGAGACTGTGCCCCCCCCAACTGTGAGCCAGAAAAGTAAATCTTTCCTCCCTTAAGTTGCTTTTCTCACTGATCCAGCCATGAGAAAAGTAACTAGCACCACAGCTGTGGCCCCAGCTGCCAGCCTCCCCCTGAACACTTGAGAACCGTACTCATATGGCCATCCGCAGACACAGCTTCTCATATCCCTGTGGACATGGTGCAATCTACTGAGCCTTCCCACTGCTGTTGTGTATTTATTAGTTCAGTTTCTGGCTATGATGAATGATGTCGTTATGAAATTCTAGTACACATGTCAGGGTGATATAAGCCCTTGCTTTTCCTGAGTAAATGCCGAAGAATAGAATGTCAGGGTCAAGGGAAGAACATTTTACCCTTAATGGACGTTGACAATTCATTTCACAAGGTTGTCATGTTTAAAGTATGATGCCATTTTTATAAAGCTCAAAGACAGGAAAAATCACATCTATGGTGTTAGAAGTTGAGCTAGTAGCTACACTTGGTGGGGTTGAGGGGTTATTCTGGGGTGCTGGTGTTTCTGTTTCTTGATCTGATGTGGATTATTTGGATGTGCTCCCCTTTGGAAACATTATTGAGGTAACACACTTACCGTGTGGGCATGCTCTGTTTGAATTACAGGTTAATTTCGGAAGTCTAAGGCTTCAGACCACCAGGATTGACCCAAAGAGCTTCTCTGCGAATTCTTCAGCACACCCCCTTGGAAGGACATGTGAGCTGATGAAGACTCCCAAGTCACATGTTCCCAAACCCACTGCACCCACCTGCCCATGGCCATCCCTGACAGCCTGGAGCATCTTGCTGCTCTAAGTTTGTTCTCTCCTTGTCCTGCTTCTGGATTAAAGCTGGTTTTCTACCCTGCTACTCAACAAAAATATACAAGAAACAAGTGTCACCTGCCATATGCCAAACGTGTGCTGGTCCTTAGGAGTGAGCAGCCCATCATAGGAGCTGTGAGGAGCAGGAAGGGACACAGATGACATCCGCAGACAGTATGAGGCAAGCGTCCTGTGATTTACACTCCCTGGCCACGTGCCCACAGAATTTAATAAATTCCCTGAATTCTAGCCTAGACATTCTGGTTGCAAGAAGAAAATTGACTCCAGTTGTATCGTGGAATGGAAGTTTATTGGAAGAATACGCTAGACAGGCTCCTGGAGAAAACATGGTATACAGGCACAAAAAATGAAATGGGACCTGAAGAGGATCAGAAATTTAAGGTCATCTACTCTCAGCTACATAATTCAATTGAAGTCAGCTTGAGCTACATGAGCCCTTGTCTAGGGCGGGGAAGGAAGGGAAGAAGGGAAGGAAGAAAGTGGGCCTTCCCTGGTTCATTCCCAACATTCTAGCCTCAATTCTGACTCCACTACTCCCTAGGTTCTCAGCTCCAGACCCTTTGATCCTTCCACCACATACTACCAGGCTACAGCAGGAGTTCCCAACCCACGGTAAGCCAGCTTCCCCTCCATCCCTGACCTCCCAGGAGCACTTCATCCCTTCTTGGTGATACTCATGTGTTTTAACAGACACTGGAGCATGGGTGTTCAAGAAATGCACAGCTGTTCCCTTTTCCATGGAGAGAGATGTACCCAGAGCAGGAATAAGGATGCTTGTTCATACTTGAACAGGTAACACCCCAGTCTGCTCCTCATTCTTGAGCCAGTTTACAGCTAACTGTAGGAGTGGGAGGGAGTGGGATGAGTTACTTCTTCCAAGGGCAGACCCTGTACAAAGATGTCTGCCTGGCATGCCATTGCTCTCCTAAGTGTGGCGGTTTGAATGAGAATGGCCCCCATACGCCTGTGTGCTTGAATACTCTGTCCCTGGTTGATGAACTGTTTGGGAAGGATTAGGAGGTGTGGCCTTGTTGGAGTAGGTGTGTCTCTAGGGGTGGGCTCTGATATTTCAAAAGTCCACGCCAGGCCTTCTCTCTCTCTCTCTCTCTCTCTCTCTCTCTCTCTCCCTCCTCTCTGTTTCTCTCTCCTCTGTCTCTTTCTCTCTTTGTCTGTCTCTCTGTCTCTCTATCTCTTTTTCTCCCTGCTGCCTGGGGTATAATGTTCTCAGCTACTGCTCCAATGCCACACCTGTCTGCTTCCCACCATGTGATCAAGGACTAACCCTCTAAAAGTATATGCAAGCCCCCAGCTAAATAGAGTTATCTTGTTCATCGTATCCCTTTACAGCCAAAGAACAGTAACTAAGACACCTTGGGACCACCAAACCTTAGTTTCCTCAGTTTTATCATATCAGAGGGATTGATCCTTCCAGGAAACTCAGAACCAGAATGTCCAGGGATTGAATCAGAGCCTAGCTTGACAATGGGACTCTCTCCAATATCAAAAGTCCTAGGGCTGAGTCCACAGTTGGGGTCTTTGAGAAATACAGGTTCCAAATGTAGTCAAGACTCAGAATAAAAAGTACATTTCCCAGTCTCCCTTGCAGCACAGTGTGTCTGTGTGACCAGATTCTAGCTGATGAGAAGTGAGTAGAATTGACAGCTGTGCTTCCCATCTCTGTGGACCATGGGAACAGGCATGCCCTTCACTCCACTCTCCCTTCTCACTGTAGGACCATGCTCACTGCAATCACCCAAGCTTCATAATCAAAGGCAACATTTGGGGGATGGAGAAGAGCAAGAGAGAAGGATTCTGAGCCCCAATATCTTATTCCACCATAGCAAAGCCAGTATAGGAGAGAAAAATAAAACTCTGTCACACTGAAGTCACTGTATTCGGTCTCTGTTAAAACAGCCTGACTTTTATTCTGTCTGGTACAGAGTATTGTAGCAAGTCCATGAGGGCCCAGATGCTGTTCTAGCCAATCAAAAAAGTCCACGGTGGCCTTTGAAGAGAAAGAGGCAAAAGGACACAGAAGAAAGCTTCACAGAGAAACGTGGCCAACATGGCTGGCTCAGTCCCAGAGCCCTGGAGGCAGCAGGCTGACTTCCACTTCACCTGTCTCCATCAGTTTTTCTTAGGAGCAAGAGGCTTGGAAGGCAGGTCACAGAAAGTCGGTTGCTACTGTGCTGCCTGTACAGAGGTAGGCAGGGCATTGTTCACAACACCTGAGTTGTCAGATAGTGGCAACCACCTCCTCCTGAGGGCAGGTAAGGCTTCCGTCAGTGCAGAGGTGTGGCTGCATCCAGTGCTAGGAGCTTCCCATAAAGAAAACCTGGGTCACAGAAGGTCCCACACTGACGTGTGGTCCTAGGAAGAGGTCATCTGCAGAAGAGGAGTACACTAGTGGAGGGAAAGTGACCTCTCTTTCCTGCCTAGGTGACAGGCAGGCTCAGACTTGAGGAAGAAAGACTTCAAACCAGAGGGGAAGGGATCAGAAAATTATGTCTTGATAAAGCTACCAAGTCATGCACCCAGCAAACACAGCTACTCCACGCCTCAGTCAGAAAGGCTCTTGCTATTCCCCAAAGAAACCTGGGCTCCTGTGCTTCTCTCCCAACCACCCCTGGTCCCAGTACTGTCCTTTAAATAGGAACGCTGTCTGGGTGTCAGATGGACACTGTTACACCTACACGCGCCCATATATGTCAAATGGATACCTGCATAGTATCTTTATGAGTGGCCATCTCTGCTGAATTCTCGTTCACATTCATCTTATGAGAATGCCTCTTTCTGCAGGGGCAAGAGCAGACTCAGTAAGAGTCCCTGCCCTGCAGCTTCACAGCCTCCCCGACTGCACAGAGTGGAACAGCCCCCCCCCCCCCACACACACACAGTGTGGAGCACCTTGTTTGTCCCTCCCCGATATCCCCCTCCCCCGGGCCAGCTCTTTCTTCAGAACAGAGTATATACAAGCAAAGGAAAGGCACTGCAAGATAAACCATACAGGTGATTTGGGAAGAGATCCCCAAATTTGGAGAGGGCATGATAGGAAATTTGAAGGCTGTGAATTCTATAGGGGAGAATTTCCCTCAAAAGATTTGGGGGACAATGGGGAGACTGAGATGAGCAGAATGAAGTATTCCAGTCCCCTACCCAGTTCTGGACCCACCTCCATGTGTGCCAGGCTCCTAGGCCCAGCAGCAGGCACAGGAAGCCCACCAGAAATCCCAGGACCCAGAGCAGCCGCTGGAACAGTTGTAGCTGGTGCAAGGCTGCAACATGAAGGAGAAGTTGAAGGAGCTCTCTGGGTTTCAGGCCCCCACCACTCCTCCCGAGGTGACTATAATAGAACTGATTTTAACTTTCACTTCATCTCCAATCTCTGTGCAAGGGAGCTCCAAGCAATCCATTTGAACTAGACAGACATGTTGTCTGGTGGCAGAAGAGATCTGAGAAGGACACGAGAATCTGTGTGCAGAGTGATTCCAGTGGCTGGTAGAGCCATTCTCCTCACCTCTGGTCCCAAAGTAGGCTGAGGCTGAAGCAGAGCCCAGGACGTTGGAGGCAGTGCACACGTACTCCCCCTGATTGCTGGGTCCAAGTTCCTCTACGCCCAGTCTCAAGGCATTAGGAGAGGCAGAGACGTGAATGTGTGGCTGGGTGGGAATACCCTGGGGTTGGTTGGAGGCTACTAGTTGACTGCCCAGGTGGAGGGTGAGGCTGGCCGGGGGCTCACTGTCCACTCGACAGTCGAGGATGCCCTGGAGGCCACCCTGAGGTTCCACAAACACTGTCAGAGTGGGCGTCTTGGGAGGATCTGTGGGGAGGAAGAGTGTGGTGACTGGAAAAATCAACTTCAGTTCCCTCTATTGGCTGTGACTTTGCTGTACTTCCATGAGATAGTGGCGCTCATTCCCTCACTCCTGAGGCAAAAGTGACATTATGGGGGATGGGGAGGTGCCTTAGTCAGTAAAATGGTTGCTGCATGGGGATGATCTGAGTTTGATCCCCAGCATTCATGTGAAAAGCTAGAATCTTAGCACTATGGAAGCAGAGACAGGAGGATCCCTGGAGCTCTGTGGACATCCAAGCTTGCTGAATTGGTTCAGTGAGAGACCCTGTCTCAAAAGATGGAGTGGAGAGTAATAAATATTGTAGCCTTTGGCCTCCTAGTACACATGCACAAACAGGTATATGCATATACACAGCACACACACACACACACACACACACACACACACACACACAGAGAGAGAGAGAGAGAGAGAGAGAGAGAGAGAGAGAGAGAAAGAGAGAGAGAGAGAGAATATGCATATACATTTTTAAAGCGGCATTGTGGGACTTTGGTGTAATATGTTGGGTGCCAATATGTAACACGAAAAATAAAAACCCAGAGACTGATATGGGGTTCAAGCTTCAAGCTGAAGATCAGAAAAGCAAAGCAGCCAGACCACCAAATCTTACTTCTACCTCAGGCTGAAAGGGTTGCTCTGTCCTCAGGGTGTCTGGACAATAAATCTCCCACCAAGCCTCAGACTGCAATCCCAGATTGCTGCCTCTTCCTTTTATACCTCTTAAATCCTGGGATTAAAGGCATGTGATCCCAAGTGCTGAGATCACCATTGTGTGATCTATTTCTCTATAAGACTGGATAAATTTTGTGTAACTCAGTGTGGCCTTGAACTAACAGAGATCCATCTGCCTGTCTCTTGAGTCCTGGGATTAAAGGTGAGTGCTACCACTGCCTGGTTCTCTGGCCAGCTAGTATGTCTGCTAGGATTAAAGGTGTGTATCACCATTGCCTGACCTCTTTGTCTGTGGCTAGCTTTGCTTTCTGAACCCTCAGGCAAACTTTAATAAATCATAATAATATATCATCTTACTTTGGAAATGGATATCAAGATGTTTGCAGCTTCTCTTCTGCTTCTGGAAACAACCATGTGGAAAGCTCAGGCTAGCCTGCTAGCCATGTATGGCCTATCTGCAGCCACCAGATGAGGCCATCTTAGACTGTTCGGTTTCAGCAGAGCCACTAGACAACTGCAGTCAGGAGACCAGAACTGCCCATCTGAGCCCTGCCTGAATTTCTAACTCATGGAATTGTGAATTTGGGATAACTTGTTACCAAGCAGGAACTAATTGATATAGCTTGGGACCCAAATGGAGTGGGAGAACCAAGGCTAATGATGGCTGGCCTAGTGTGCACCAGGCACTCAGTTGCTTTATCTTCTGTATTCATCCCAAGAGGACAGGGAGAATGTGTCCTCCATTTCAAAGGTGGGGAAAGAAAGCAAAGATACACAAACACATACAACCAGCCAGTGGGAATGCTGGTATTCTAAGACCCCCTACTTATGAAGCTCTTACTCTAGCAGAGGAAAAGACCTGATGCAGACCAATGAGAGACCAGGCAGAGGAGGGGTCATACTCACACAGGACACGGAGCATGACAGGAGCAGAGGTCGTGACCCCAGTGGAGAATTCAGCCCTGCAGTGGTACAGTCCAGCCTGAGCCCGGGTCACATGGGTGAAGGAGAGTATGGGCGCAGGATCTGTGTGTAATGGATGGCGATTCCAGAACCATGTGACAGTAGAGTTGCCCGTGGGCTTGGAGCCACCAGGGAGATGGCAGCTTAGGTTCAGAGCTATGCCCTCTGGCACATCCAAGCCTGGCTCAGCTGCCACATGTATGTCTGTGGTACACAACAGGAAAATAAATGGTCAGAGATCGGTACATTGTGGGATGATCTCAATCTATCTTGGGCTCAAGGCCCTCCACAGTGGGCTGTGTCTCTCGTTGGACTGATCATAAAAACAGCATGACTAACAACTGTGTCCTGAGGTTCCCTTACAGGGCTGTGCCTCCAGCATCAGAGAAGGGCATCTGAAGTGTGAGGCTTCACCTTGCCCTCAGACTGGGATTCCCAAAGGTGGGCTTCTGTCTTGCTCCCACCTTCCTTCCTCAGTGAAGGGTGTGCGAGGTCAGGATATGTCTCCTCCCACCCCTTCCATAAGACATTAATAACCTTCCTGACTTGGATGGTAGGGCTGGATCATCCCCTTGGGATAGTCTACCCCTTCAATGAGAACTGTGCCTCCTCCAGCAGATTAGGCTCCCCAGGGATGGAGTAGTCCACATTCCTTTGGGACAGCAGGCCCTCACATGGGATCCAGGCCCACAACACAAGAATCCCAAACCCTCACACCCTCCTGACCCCTGTCCCACTCACCAGTCTCCTGCGGGAGCTTCTGGGTGGTACTGATGGAGCCCAGTGCATTTCGGGCTGTACAAACATAGGTGTTGTCATCGCCTCCAGACACGCCTTGCACCTGCAGTCGAAGAGCATTTCGGGCCACCTGGATGTGACCCATCCCTGATGCAGAGCTGTGAAGCTCATGGCTGGCAGCTAGCACCTTGCCATTGTGGGATAGGACCAGCTCAGCAGGTGGTTCGCTGTCCACAGTGCACTGTATCACGAGCATGAGCCTGGTCCTCGAGTCCCGAAAAGAAGACAGGACAGCATCCCGAGGGGCATCTAGAGGTGGGGCAGAACACAGATGGGGGCCCTGCCATGGCATGAATGGCTCACTGCCCATCTCACTCACCCAGTGTTGGTGAGACTAAAGTTTCTAGACAAATGTCCCCTTCCTAAAAATTATGCCTTATCAAGTGAGTGGACAGAGTCCTTCAGGCAGGCTTCTAGGGCCATAGTATCTCCATCTTTATCACTAATGCCCTCTTTTCCCCAAGTGCCCATTTCTAGACCCTCCTTAATGCCATGCCCACCCTAACCAAGTGCTGTAAGCACCCCCTGCCACCCTCACCCTGGAAAGCCACAGGCAAGGAGCCCCTGCTCACAGAGAACTTGCAGGGTGGCGGGTCGGGAGCTGCGTGTGCCCTGATTGTCATGCACCTGGCAAAAGTAGGCGCCAGCATGAGCCCGTGTAGTCACCAGAAACTGGAGCGAGGAAGCTGGCCCCTCCTGAAGCCAATGGCCATTGTGAAACCAGGCATAGAGGGTGGGTGGGAGTGCAGCAGGGTCCTCGCAGGTCACTGTCACAGGCCTCCCCTCGGGCACAGCAGCAGAGGGATCCATCACCACTCGTACACCTGAACCAAGGAATCCAGGGTCAGCTCGGCCCAGCTAGACATTACAGGCAGTTCTCCTCTCTGCAACATTGGTCTGGCCCTGTTTCACCTTCTAGCCGAAGCTCCAGGGATGTGTTGGCCTTGCCCAATGAACTGTGGGCAGAGCAGCTATAGAGACCCTCATCACTAGGCCTTGGGTCCCGAAGCTCTAGGCCAGAGCAGCTATAGAGACCCTCATCACTAGGCCTTGGGTCCCGAAGCTCTGGGGGCGGGGTGTTGGGGACAGAGGCTTCTGTTGAAGAGGCTAGAATGTGGCCGCCACGACTGAGAGCTAGCTGGGCAGGCGGGCGACTATCCACAGTACATAGTACCAGGACCAGCTGCCTGCCCTGGGTCTCTAGGAGGTAGGTCAGCCGCAGGCTTCGGGGAGCATCTGTAGAGATCCAGGAGGCACACAGAGTTCAGAAGCAGACTTGATAAGGCCAGTTTGCAGGTAGCAGGAGAGTTCTCCACTGTCCAGTCAGGGCCTCTGCTCCTGTCCCCATCTCCCCCAACTCTTAAGGTCCCTTGTCCAGTGCTCTGCAGCTGGCTGATAGTTGAGCTCTTAGGCTGCACACTAGGGAGTTTTCCCATGCCCTGATCCCTGTGAGTTTTTGTCACTCTTTCCACCGCTACCCACACCCAGCCACACTCACAGAGGACATCCAGGGTGACAGGTCTGGAGAGATGAGGTGCCTGGCCAGAGAGCCCCACACCACAGCGGTAGGAGGTAGCGTCTATGACTGTGACATTGGGCAGGGAGATGGAACGGGCACCAAGGA